TTTATGTGTTTTATGATTATGTTATTTTGAAATATTGATATAATTTTTTCATAAACTATATGTACCTTCACTATTTTGTTAGCATGAAACTTTTAAAGAGTGTGAGAAGGCTAAATATTATTGAAACTCGTTACAGAGTTTGAATAGCCTGAAGATCATTAAAACTCCTAAAGAGTTTATTACGGTTATTAAAACTTCAAAAGGAAGTTCAAAAGATAGTTAAGTCGAAAAGGTTGCTATTTGCCTGAAGCAAGAATAATGAAAGACATTGGGTAGAATCTCGATCATAGTAGTTTGGCCTGAGTATATATACATTTAACACCTGTTGAACGCACTAAACTATGATCTTGATGTGCATAAAATCTTTTTTTTTAGCCTAGAACAAAATATAAAGCGATTTGGTTATGAAGTACCATATTGTAATACTTATAAGTATCGGTTTATTATCCAAGGCGTTCGAGGATCATATATATAAATACCTTTTTAGTATGCTAGTTATAGATCTTTGTTGTTATTAAGTACTCAGTATTACACTAGCATATGAGATGATCGTCTGCAGAGAAATCGAAGTGACCCGTCTATTATTGAATTCAACAATGGTGAACCTGGTCAGCATATTAACATGTGGCGAGAAGATTACAAGTGACGTACTCAACATGGGGAGTAGCCCCACGCTGTATTCTTTTTCCCTTGATTGAGGTTTTGTCCCAATGGGTTTTCCTGGTAAGGTTTTTAACGAGACAGCATTATCTCTGGAAATGCACTCTTTTTCCTTTATTAGATTTTTATCCCACTGGAGTTTTTTTTTTCTAGTAAAGGTTTTAACGAGGTATTATCCCAATAAATGGACATCCAAAGGAGAGTGCTATAAATATATTAATAATGTGGATGTCCATAAGATATAAGAGTTGTATTAGGATTCCATGTTATAGAGATAATATTTAGTTAGAACTCATATTCGTTGATTTTATCTCTGTATCTACTTGCCTATAAATAGAGGCCAGTCTCTATTGAATAAGATGCATCTGAATCCTCTTTCTCTCTCTCATAGTTCTGCTTCTTAGTTTATATTTATTTTATAAAAAGTCGTTATTATTTCACTATTTTGTCTCAATATACTTATCATTTTCTTTAATATGAATCTCTTTCCTATTATCTATTTACACTTATTGAAAGCAGCTGTCACAAAAGTTACGTGGGAGCTCTACAAAAATTATTTTCCCGCATGAACTCCAGAGACAATACTACCTAATTTTGACTTAATAAGGAAAAGAAATCCCACAGGCATAACTCTAAAGATATTATAGAGTAATTTGATTTGAAAGATCAATTATTATCTTCTCACATTTAATTTTCTAATAATAAGATCCAAAGCAAAAATATCGTCAACAATTTATTTCCTCTATTTATAAATCCGTTATAGAGAGCTCATTGTTAATTTTCTTTTCATAGTTGCATATCATGTTGTTAAACAACTCCCTCCTGAACAGTGCCAGGACAACGGCCCCAACTGATAAAATAGTTTATGTGTTTTTTTGTGTCAAACGGGTAACTACGGATTGACCGGAGTTCGACCCGTTCAATTACATGGGTTCACGAGTTTGGCATGAATTTGATCCAAGCCCATTAAAGCTCAACCCAAATCCGCTTGTAACGTGTTAGCTTCAACTAAATATTATCTCTGTATCAACCACGAAAATGAGTTAGAAGAAAATCCGCTCGTTGATCTTATCCCTGCTATTTCGGTTAAAAGAAAATTTTACATGGTTGCCCTGTGCTCAGATTTGAAAGAAAGCACTGGTTTTTTTTCTTCGCCCTTGGTAAATTGGTCAATTTCTTCCCCTTCGTTGAAACATCTCGAGATCTATCTCCATAATGATGGTGCTAATATCATGAGATCATTTGCGCGTAATGTCAGTAACCAGTACAAGTTGGAAATTGATACACCTGCGCTTGAAAAGCTCATTTTAAGTGATCAAGTGTCGAGGGAAATCTCAATAAGTGGAGGCTCTGTCAACGAAGTGGATCTTGATATTCGATGTGTAGATCGTGTTATGGATAAGGATTATCAGAACTGGATGGTTCAGTTGATCCAGGGTTTGAACCATGTGAAGATTCTTACATTATCAGAGAAAACCATGGAAGTTCTTAACACAGCCACCAGCCAATTGTCAACAATGAGAAGTTTGTGGAGTTTCGAGAGATTAACCAAACTGGTTGTCAAATTAGATAATTTCACTCCATGGAAGTGCCTGATTGACCCAATCAATTGCTGCACCGCACTAGAAATCCTTGAGATTACTCACTTGTGGTGTGATATTAATCCTGGTGATGATCGGTTTCGTATCAGACGTTCGAGCGATCAAAATTATACTCCTCCCTCCATCTCATAATTATTGTCTAGTTTGTATTTTCATTTTTAGTTCAAATTGTACTAAAAGTGAAATCTCAAACTGGACAATAATTTTGGGACAGAGGGAGTATCAGATTTTTGAGGGTTCAAAATCCTCTGAGATGCTCTTTATCCATTTTTGGATTTTCATTTCTAGTTCAAATTGTACTAAAAGGGACTATTTTGTTATTTTTATATTTTTTAAGTTTATATTTATAATTTTCTGAAACTATCGGGGTATCTTTGGTTAAAACCTAACGAAAATCCGCTAAGTTTAACGGAAATTAGGCCAATTGGGCGGAATTGACAAAAATTTCAAATAGTAAGGACAAAATTGGCTACCCGGAAATCAATAGGATGGAATTGACGATGGGCCCAAAGATTTGGGTATGAATGCCAATTTTTCCGAGGTTTGACATATGATCTAGATTCCTAATTTTGTACTCTTTCTTTCCTAAAATGATTTGTGAAGTAGACAATCATTTTGATTTTTCGGGATGGGGGGAATAATAATGTATAAATATCTCTCTTATGTTAAGACGGATTGAGTAACTACATTTTGCGCTTGTACAACTTACATTATACTAGTGTTTACCCGGGACGTTGTGCGGGTAGCTCAAGATATATTTGAGTTTAATGATCTACCGATTATATGATATATCTGAGATATATATATCTAATATTAATTATATAAATTGAAATAGTGTAATTTTTATTGTCATGTATTTTGTTGTTTTAAGTACATTTGGAATAATTTTCAATATTTGAAATCATCTAATGTAACTTATTATCCATTTTTTTCCTTTTTGTTGATTTATAGTTTTATAATTTTAAAAAGTATTCTCTTAATTTTTCATAATGATTTCTATATATTTTTCCACCTGTGTTGTATCTTTTAAATTCTTCCTCTATCAGAAAAGTTTTTCACTTTATACTTCCATAAAGTTATCTTTTTTTCCATCCCTCCATATACCTTTTACAACCTTTTTTTGAAAGTTTCTTCGTAGATTTTTCGTATAATATAATCTTAACTTTTCTTTAAAGCTTAATTTCTTGATAATTTTGTAATAATTACCTCATTTTTTACTATTATTTTTCTTTGAAGCTTAATTATTTTATTTTTCTTAATCTCCACATAATTTTTTCCTCCATATAAATTTTTTTCTTAAATATTTTTCTTCAACTATTTGTCTCTCACAAAGACATTTATTCTTTTTCTCATTTTGAAAAACTTTCTTTGTATTAATATATACGTTTTGGTTTATCATAACGTTAACTTTTTTCAACCATTATATCATATGGAAAAATATAATAAATATATAATATTAATTATTAGATTAATTTATTAGTAATTATTTGATTTATTATTATTTTATAATATATAATATAATTTATTAGTATATTATAAATATTTTTGTCGAGTAATATTTCTAATCTTAATATTATTATTATTTTACTTTTTTTTTCTTTTATAAATTTTGTACACTGTAATTAACAATAATCAAGACCGTTAATGAAAAAAAAATATCTATTATCATAAAAAACATTTACAATCGAAGCATCACTAAAATAACATAACTTTAGAATCAATATTGATAGGTAAATTAATTTTTTTCATTAATCAAATTGATTTTTTTTAGTTTATTTATGTTTCTCTTCATCAATGTGTGGTGGTTGGGATTGGGGGGCGACTTATGTGAGGGAGTTAACTTTACTCTCTCTTTTTTTTTTTAAATTTTTTTGTAATTTTAGTAAATTTAGTTTTATTTATAATTTTTACATTAAAAAATTAACATTAAATGATGGAGTGATGTGGTTGCGATATGTGGATTTGACTATCTAAGTTTTTGTCATGTTTCTGATTGAAAACTCTCATTTAATATATAATGTAGAGATGTTGGTTTAACATGTATGGTTGATGTCAGAAGTCAGAACATGATCATAATGAGTTATCCATCTTCCATTTTAAGACCAAACTCTATCTCGTTTATGCTTTAAGATACTTGGCAAAAGTAGTTTACTTCATAAGCCGCTGCGTACGTACCTTTCTTTTTAACCTCTAATCATTTGGAAATTGGAATCATTCATCACAATCATATTCGTGAATTTCACCAAAAAGAAACAAAACTAACCTTTTGTGTTTTCCCCTCTTCATGGGCGGAAGTACGTACTTCCTCTCGAAACCTCCATGAGGTAGTTCTTACGATTCAGAGATCAAACACATGATGAGTAAATAGCCGGTAGAACGCTAAACAGTATATCATCATCATCATAACATGGGTGTTTGGTTTAGTCTTTCCCTGCATTCAAAGTCCACCGCCATACAGATGCAACCCGGCAACCTTTCCATCCCCTTCGGCTTAAATTTCAGTGGTCCCTTTTTGGATGAACTGTCTGTTTCTTCTATAGTGTTCTCTTCCTAACCGTTTTGCAATCCGCATTTAGTGCTTTCAAATTTGACTTATATTTCTCTGGTTATCATCATTTCGAGCTAATAACATATAAATAAATATTGATTCCAGCAATATCTAATTAATTGTCAAAAAAGCTAACACATTTGTGAGAGCAGTGAAGTAGTAGTTGCCTAGTCCCATAATGCAAGTATATACACGCATATACTACATTTCAAAGGGACTTGTGTGGACACCAATTTGTGAATCAGCTAGGTTTGAATATGGGTAGTACCAATACTTCACAGCTCTTTAATTCTCAAAACTACCAAGCCTGCTAATACCAGCTAAGCCCCCCCTTCCCCTTTTCATTTATAGTCAATGGAAAACTATAGTAAATGTGTTCATAGAATAGTGTTTTGGGGGAGGACTTTCTACGGCTTCTAAAAAATCACATTTTTCGTGGGAACGTCTTAGTTCTTACCGTGTCTGAACAGTATATTAGAGCGATTACTACTATTATGTTGCTACAAACACCGGTTTACAACAGTATATAAGAGCGATTACTAGAAACACCACATACTAAGAAAAATCATAGACTCGCGCGGTTACTGAAAAAAATGTAAACAAATCGAATGGTACATATTACTAGAAATACACGGATCGATGCAAATAGTAACAGTTACTGTTGTATGTTCATTCGTTTATAAGAAAAGAAGGTCTCTCACATGGTACACGATATTAAATGATGGTATCTTCTGAGGAAAATCAAAGAAAAATTACACAGCTTTCTTTTTAATCTTGATACAGATGTAATAAAAATTCTCATGACACCCTATGAAGTAGTAACCTAAATGCAGGATTTTTCTGCAGGGCACTTGTTTTTGGTGCAGGAAAATGTACTAGAAAGAAGGGGTAAGAGAGGAAAAAAAAAGGTTTAGAAAATCGAGAAATAAGTGGGAAATATTTATGGCTGACTTAAAAAAAAATTAATTAACAACATCAACAACAGAGAGAAGGTTTTGGAATTTATGTGGGGAGGAGGTATTTTTAGAGCTTCACAACATCTGGAATATGCACAGGGTACCTATCAATGCTGTCTTCCCATGGGCCTTCCACAGGAGTCTTGATTGTCCTGTTGCACTTCCATACAGCACTGTTGCATTTGAATCCACTCCCAAATGCAATCTGCCAAACTCTATCCCCTCTCTTCATCCTCCCTTTGGATTCAATGTAGCTCAATTCATACCAGAGTGAAGATGATGAAGTGTTTCCAAACCTGTGGAGTGTCATTCTTGATGCCTCAACATGCTCTGCTGAGAGCTGGAGATTCTTCTGAAGCTCATCAATCACTGCCCTTCCACCAGCATGGATGCAGAAATGCTCAAAGGCTTGTTTGAAGTCTGGAATGTATGGTTTCCATTTGGGATTGAAGATCTTCCTCCCAATCAGTGTGAACAGGAACAGAAGTTGCTCTGAAGCTGGAAGAACCAGAGGACCTATGGTTGTGATGTTTGACTTCAAAGCTTCCCCTGCAATCACCATGAGGTCTTTGGATAGATTAATCCCAACTTTTCCTTGTGGGTCTTCCTGTTCATACACACACTTGTAAGCCTTATCATCAGCTCCCTTATGAGTCCTCACAACATGGACCAATTTGTACTTTGCTCTGCTTTTTTCCCTTCTCTTGTTTGACAGCAAAATGGCTGCAGCACCCATTCTGAACAAGCAATTGGGAAGAAGCATGGCTCTTTCATTACCCTTGTAGTAATTTGGGGTGATGATTTCTGTGCTTACAACCAGAGCATAAGAATTGGGATAGACTTGAAGAAGGTCCCTTGCTAAATCAATGGAAATTAGGCCAGCAGAGCAACCCATCCCAGAAAGATTGAAGCTTTTGATGTTGCTCCTCATCTTGTACTTGTTAATCACCATGGCTGATAGAGATGGTGTAGGAGAAAACAAGCTGCAATTCACTATCAAAATATCGATGTCTTTCGGCTTGAGCCCTGTTCTCTTCAACAATGAATCAATGGAGGAGAAGATTACAGTCTCTGCTTCAGCTCTGGCATCTTCCATGGTGGGATTTGGAGGGATGTAATGAATAGCAGGGGGCAAGCAAGTTTCTTCACCCAAACCTGATCTTTCAAGAATCCGCATTTGGAACTCCACGGCTTTGGGGCTGTCTTTGAGAATCAGCCTGGAATGCTCCATGAAAGTTGAGAACGGAACCCGGCAAGTGACAGGGGGCTTGTAGCAAGCGTAATCGACTAAGTAAACAGAACGAGGTTTGGACATGAAGTAGACAGTTGCGATGAAGATAACAAGGAATGAGGAACAGAGGACTTGGACGAAGTCAAAGTGGATTGATCTCCAGATGTTGAGGATTTCTTCAGGGCCTAATCTTAGAAGCTCTAGCGCAATTGCTGCCATGATGGGCACGAGAATGAATGTCAAAATGTGGTTAACAAGGTATTGGTACCCAAGTTTCACATATTTGAGCTTCACTGAGCTTGAGAAATCTGGCAATATTTGTGGCATTTTTTTTCCTAATGGTTTTCTTTTCGTGTTTGACTTTTTTTTCCTCAAGAATTAACCCTTGCTTTTCTTCGAGGAGTTGAGAAGAAAGATGAAACGTAGTTTGGTTTAAGGTTGGAAGAAATGGTGTTATGGGAAGGAGGGGTAGGGGGGAGGGAAGAGAAGCAGGGGAATTTAAAGGCTCAGCTCTCAAGGGGAAAAAAAAAGAAAGAAAAAAAAGAAAAGGGAGGCAATTGGCAATGAATGTGGGCAGATGAGAGGATTAAATGAACAATTTAACGTCACACAACGCTCTCTTAGCTGGAGGTTTTTTTTCCCCTCTCTCGTCCTAACCTCCACAAAACCAATGATTTCCTTTCTTTTTAATTTTCCTTTTTTTTTTGAAAAAAAAAATTCTAAGCATACAAATATTTTTTGTTTTGTGTAATTGAAGTATAGAGATAATAAAAAATATTTCGACGGTGGACGCCCTGCAAATATGCAAAGAAAAAAAAAAAATCTGTAATCATAATCTTTTTAATAAAAATATGTTTGGTTTTTCAATGTTTAAGTTTAACAATGATATTAAAGATCATGCAGTGTTTTTGGAGCAGCAAGCATATGGCTTAGCTACTGTGTTGTTTATGTGTTGTTCTGTTAACGCGTTACCAGTGAGGTCGGGGAACACACCTTGGATACTGATGGCACATGTAAAGTTTCTCTTAATGGAATAGTCAATTTGAGCTATGTCTTTTTTCCTTTTTAATCTTCAAACCCTCGATTAATCTCTCCGGTCAATAGAAGTTATTGATACGACTGATATTTCCACCCCGTGAAAGATTTTAAGAAACGAGCGACATTGGACATGAGATGAAACAATAGCCAACTATGCTTCATAAGAAGGCAAAACATGATTGTAAGTCCATTTATGTTTATGTGTATAAAACCAGATCTTAATGAATCCACTAGCTCTATTATTATTCCTGTATATTTATGAGACATACGGTTGACTAATTGATTATGGAGGTGCCCTTAAGCTACCACATACAAATACAGCCAAAGATTAAAGTATTACATTCAAACAACCCAAGTAATGTGATTAGCAACGAACCTTTCAAATTCAAAACCTCTAATTAAGTATTGTGATTTGCCGGGAATATTAAAGTACATTCAAATATCCAAGTCTAAAAAGAAAAATTCCTCACGGGGATTACATAAAATAATCCAATAAGATTGGGTAAACGCCACACTATTGGATCGAGTGCGCAATTTGTCTTCTTAATTACTATATATACTCGATCAAATCTTCCTTTTAAGATTCATTCGTAGTACCACGTTTAATAGTTGACGAGTTCTGTTTTTGGATATTGGGAGAGGAAGATGATCAAGGTCCAAATTTAAGTTTTTTTTTTATTAAAATACATATAATACATTTTCAGGAAAGAACATTAACATCACCTTTAGTTAATCTAATATTCTCTCCGTCCCATAACTATTGTCCAGTTTGAGTTTTCATTTATAGTTCAAGTTGTACTAAAAGTAGAATCTCAAACCGGATAATAATTTTGGGACAGATGGAGTAATCATACCTAGTATGGTTGTGCAGTTTATTATTGGGCCGAAATGGGCAAATGGGGAATTTCTTTTTAAGTTTTATTTTTTATATTGGGTGGTAGGAAGTGACTGTCGATCGAAATACATTAAGAAGTGTCACATAATAATAATTAGGGTAATTAGAAGATAATGTTTGTTGAATCAAAATTATGATGAAAGAAGAGGTTTATAGGGGTTGACGGTTGGGGTGGTTGTAAGTTGGATTTGTGACAAATCACCATTTTCTTTTAAATTTTTGGGTCCACTCATAATTGCAACCGGAGTTATTAATATTACTTGCTCGCCAGATCAACCATTCATATTTCGTACTGTGAAAATGTGAATTCCATTATTCAGCTCATAAATTGTCACACAAGAGTAAATTTACCAAGGTCATACAATAAATCATTTTATGGGATGCTATACAATATCATTAGTAGGCATTTTTACTAATTTTCGTTCGACTTTTCCATCACCTATTTTTGTGGACAAACTTTTTAGCTAATGGAGTAGTATTATTTTAATTTACAATACTTGAATTCAAGATGATTGTTTTGGAAAACAAACCAAACTTCCAAAACACACTCCCCTTTTTTTTTTTTTTTCATTTTTAAAATAATGTGAATCATGTTACTTCTGTATACCCACCAATTCTTCCGCTACACGAGTTAAGATTCTTGGATGATCAAATAGTACTACAATTTAATTTATACTCCCTCCGATCCTTAATATAAGACATTTTAATTTGTCCTATGTTCCACTTAGTATACATTTTTAATTAATAAAAAATAGTAAAAATATTTTTTAACAATCAAGAAAACATAACGGATGTGAAAATATATTTTTAAAGTTTTTTCTTCGACTAAAAATAAATATTAGGTGAAACCTAAGACAAATTAAAAGACTTTATATTAAGGACCCAAGGAAGTACTAATTAACTTCTCATCTCCAGAAGATTAGGTATCCTCATACAGTAAACTTTGGAACACCAAACATGGTGGTGGTTGACGACTCAGCGTTCTGTGAAAGAGAAGACATGGATAATTCGACTTTGATTAAGGTTTAAAGTCAGTTAACCCTAAACATAAGTAATCAATCAACTACATTTGAACTAGAGAGATACATTTAATCAATCCATTCACTTAATCTCTTTCTGTTCACACCTTAATTGTTGCTGGATATTTCTTATTGTGGGAATCAAATTGCTGAAGTTTTTGACTCAAAAAATCCACAGCTTTTAAAGAGGGAAAAAGCAGGAAGTGATGGCTTTATTTACCTCCTAATCACATTAAAAGTATGAAATGTCACGATATTGCCAGCATGAGTACATGTTGCAGATGTTAACAAGTAACCGTGACTGAATGCAACGGGCGTTATACTTATTATTAATCCCTACAATAATTAATAATGTTTTGCTCCAAAATTGACTCATGCTTAACTTCTTTGACTCCAACAACGATTCCTACAACTTGAAAACCCGCTTTAAATTAAAAATGTACGGGTCCAAATCTAACTAAAATTCATCTAATCTCTCGCAAAAAGAGAAAAACTCTAAATGAAACTATTTTAAGTTAAAACACAGTTGAATTAAATAACATTTTCTTCGCAGAAATTATATTTTATTAGAGTACTATAATTCGGTATAATATATTGATCGAGAGAATAATTTATCATCAATGTAACGTGTACATTTCGTAGCTCTCGAGTCTTCTAAATCAATTTTTTTTTTTAAAAAAATTATGATGGAGTTTGAGTCCAATTTATGCCTCAATTGAATCCCTTTCACTAAACTCACGGGCAAGTATATAAAATAAAATCAAGTACTTACTAGTATAATAATTAAATGATATTTTGGGATCGGAATCAAATTTGCGAAGTTCAACACTCACGTAATTCCCTTTCAGGGTTCCATGCATGGCAAAGTATTTTTTGGTCAGAAAGCACGAAGAAGAACCACGTAATGGTATTATAGTTGCATGTGAATAGTGATTATATACCTTGAAAATGACTCATTTCTTCTTGGAATTCATTTCATTAGACCACGTATGTTTGATAATATTTATGAAATTGGAAGATTTATTTTTTTTATTTTAAAATATTGATTCTGGAATTCCATTCGGTTGAACATTTGTCATAATATAGAAGAGAAGAGAAGATAATAGAATTGCCTTGTGGCAGAAAACAATAAATTGAAGATTACTTCCCGAAACCAATTGATTGTTGTTTCATTAATTAATTATATATATATATATATTATGCATTTCTTGAAATATGTATGTAGTTCGTTATATTTCTAAATAAATTAATTATTAAATGCGTTACTACTGATCGTAAACTTCCTTAATTGTTAATATCATATGTGTAAAACGTATATAGGGCCACTTGCAATGAAGAATGTGGATATAAATCATAGACAATGTCAGTTAGTTTAGCTTCTAAAGTGCATTTAGACTACAAAATTCAACTCTCATTAATTGTTTTTCATACCAAGTGTAAGTGGAAAACCGGGCTGGAAAACAAATGAGAAAATCTTTACTAAATTAAAAATAAATTATGATTTTTTTTTAGCGACAAGAAATCGATTAACTCTTGATAAAACATAAATCCAAATGAGCCACCGCTGTTGTAAGTCTCAATAAAGTATGTATGCTCAATCATCCAAAAAAAGAAGAAGTCATATTTTGAATTAAAAACATTATAACAAATAAAATGCTTCATTTGAAATGTAAGAAATATAGTTCTGCATTAAGGGGGGAAAAAAGAAAAAGAAAAAGAACAAGAACAAAAACAAAGCCAAATGGGAAGCCGACTTGTCCAAGAAATTAATTATCCATTCCGTCCTGAAACGATAGTTCAATTTGAATTTTTATTTTTTAGTTTAAGTTATAATAAAAGTAAAATTCAAACTGAACAATTATTTTGGAAGAGAGAGTAATAAGAATCCAACCCTCCTGCAAATTAATCAATGGAATATACCTCGCGGCAGTTTGGCTACATTAATATCTAAAACTCATGGACATATAGATTCCAACTTCTGAACGCTGAAATGGTCAAAATTGTAACGCTGCTGCATATAGCGCACACAGTCCAGTCCAGTGTCCACTTCGATTATTTTCTTTGAGCAGTAAATGACAATGTCTAATCACTTAGTCACATATCCAATCGAAACTAAATAGTAGTATAGCGGTACTAATCAAGATTTAAGCCATAAAGTACTAACATTTTCTTATGCGCAACACACTTTTTTTTTCTTTTTTTTTTTCCACATATTATCAACGCGTCCAGAACATGGATCGATCGTGGATGGGGTAACGAATGTGAATTTGAAAGAATTAGAATAGACCCAAATATAAATGGTTATGATGGTTTCATCTCCAAATGAAATGACCTCTTTACGTATTTCTTTGTTCGAAAACAAGATTGTCTACTGAAACGTAAACATCTTTTAACGAGTAACAATAACTATTAAATATATTTAACCCACGGTTTTAGATTTTTGTCACTTTTCTAATAAAGTATCCAAGATTCTTCCAGAACTTGTCATAAGGATTCCTAATTTTTCATGATCAATAACAATTACTTGCACGAAACACGATGGAAAAACTCACCTACTGCAGTCATATATATTAGTTTTTGGGGTTTTCTTGCCATTGGAGAATGAGATAACTTATGCTTATGGTTTTACTTTAAAAGAGTCCAAATTGGTTGGTCCACAGTCTTAATTAAACAATGTGCATGTACCTCGTT